AAAAACCCCCAAAAAAACACAACAACAACACAAAACAACAACAGCAACAACAACAACAACAACAACAACAAAACACAACAAACAATTTCTTCCTAAAGCCTTAAGTACCGGATCTGAAACAGACACCGGCAGTCATGGTTCACCACCCAAGTCTCTCCTCGAATACTCTAAAAACCTATCATTATCTATCCTGGGATCTTTCTTTTCTTGTCACCGATCTCTTCCAGTTCTCTGAGTAAGTTATATTTGGTCTATAACTGCTTCTTGAGCTGTCTATTAGGATCTATATTCTCTACAGTAAGAGCAAGATGTTCAAAGCCTTTGTGTCGACACACTACATCACTGATTTTCTTCTCATTCTATGAATGAAACGGTATAGGTTTAACGCCCCTTTCAACACTATTAGATTATTGAAGAGGCGGGACTCCCGTGTTAATTTAACGTCCATCTCCGAAAGGACCGAGCCAAATACGAAACTCGTATAAAGTGCCTTCCCCAAGGACACAACGTTGGGCCGAGCTGAGGCTCGAACCCCCGAACCCGCAATCTCACGATTATGAGTCCGGTAGCCTAACCACTAGACCACCGACGCCTCGTTCATTCTATGACGTTATCAGAACAGATCACAACAATCTGCTGTACTGGTGGTTGTGGTGTAGTGGTTAGCGCTTTCTACCAGGGCGCTGTATTACTGTATCCCCCTCAGCCCGAGTTGGTCCTGAGTCCTGACAGCTTACAGGCAGGATCGAACCAGTCTCTGCCTCCTAAACTATCTGAATAGTGTTTTTGTTGTTGTTGTTGTTGTTGTTGTTGTTGTTGTTGTTGTTGTTGTTTTTGTAGTTGCTGTGTGTGTGTGGTAGCCTATCCGTTCGAAATGTTTGGAGCCCCGAAGAGAGTGCTCTTCGCCAGGGCCACCGCCTCCCTTGTTGTTTCTGTTGTTGTTGTTGTTGTTTGTTTGTTGTTGTTTTTTGGGGGTGGGGGATGTAACATATCTATATCTTACATTATATTATTTTACAGCAATCTGTGTTTCCAAAACGATCACAGGTTTTAATGACAAGATAAAATGCGTCACCCTGTTGACACTATGCCTCACTACCCTGCAGGCAGTTCTGGGTTCAAATCCCTGCGTCGCTGCTAACATAGTTTTGTAAACTCGTTGCTACCTACCTGTATCACCTGTCCTGGGCAACAACGTCATTGCACACCGGACAGGTCCATAAGTGCTCAGTTCCCCCCAGCACCAAAGCCGGCAAGGTATCCATACTGATTGCTCCAGTGGCTGTTTGATCATGGCGACGTCTTTACTTTCCAGATAATCGTTCCTTTATTTCTCGTTGTCTATATTTGGGGATTCGAACCAGGGCTATTCGCTCCTTGGTCCAGTATATGGTACCAACTGAGCTAACGGTGCGCCTCGATTTGTAGATTGTAGTTACTTTACTTTTACTTTTCCATCCTCTGTTGCCGTTAAGCGTCCAGGGGAGATGCAGTTTTCTATGGTGGTCCAGCTCTTTCAATTGTGATATTATGATTTCTCTTGAAGATTGTATTTTGGGGAAAAGGTTGCACAGAGAACAGCAACAACAATTTTAAAAGAAGCAATACAGTGTATTCCTAAGACGTTATTTAACCAGTATCCTCCTCTCCCCCTTCCTCCCCCCCTACCCCTCCTCTCAACCTCCCGCCCCCAGCTGTGTCCGCCCGCCAGATTCCCCCGGCAGAGACATCAACGACAACTGTCTGGTGACGGACGCACCCGGTCTAACCCCAGCCTGGCCCCACACGGGTATTTTGGTGACGTCACTGGGGTTGTCTGTGGTGGCCACGCTGTGTAAGGAGACGGGGGCCTCTGTGCTGGGTGTGTGTCTAATCTATGACGTCATAGCACACAGGAGACAGATCTTGGTGTGAGTATAGAGCATAATAATATGTATGACAATGTGTGAGGGTGGAGGACAAAGAGGACATAATGAAGACATACGTTTAAAGAGAGAGAGAGAGAGAGAGAGAGAGAGAGAGAGAGAGAGAGA